ATATTATATCGCTGAGAAAAATGATCTGGTTGGATTAAATAGTAATTCTGGTGAAAAACAGACGAATCAGAATTTTCTGGTTAAGTCTATTAAAATTCTAGTTGAGATAACTAGAACTCTGATTAATATAATTATTCTGATAAAAATAGAAGACTTTCAGTAGATTTTACCAGAAATATTGTATCAATCAGAATTTCGATTATCTCAACTAGAATTCTAATAAATTTAATCAGAAATTTCTGGTTCGTCCATTTTCAACCAGAAATTTTTTTCAGTACATGAGACGACGAGATCGAAACACCCTGTATATTATAGCACGCGGCAGAACGTGACGTTCGAAATGCATGAAAGTATGCTTTATATTCGCATAAAAGACCGAAGTACATGTTGTCGGGCGCGAATGTGCGTATCACACCCGGGGGCTCTAACAAATAGTTCCGGTTATCGGTGCTTTCGCGCGACTTAGGCTCTCCCTTTCTGTCTCTCGCACACGCTCTGCACCGTTAATAAACTCATCCAGAAGGCCAAGTTTAGACGTCCAGATTCGTCGGGAAAGATAGATACCAGAAGGAACTTGCTGCGCGCGTAAACTATGCGTGAGTTAACTTCCCAAGAGATATGTATATATGCGCTGTGCGTCAAACGCTCTGTTCACGCCAAAATTGTTACTCCATATCTCGAACGGAAGTTTCTTCAGTGGCACGATATCCGGCAAATACATAAATTGTTATTAGAAGAAATTCTTTTACAAAAAATACACAGTAATAAGAGAAACGAATTTATACAAAGAATAGTTTTACTAAAATGTCTAAAAATTGATCTTACAGTTGCAGATCTTTTCCTAGTTCTTTGAACTAAGATTAAAATTAAACCACATTAATTAAAATAGGCATTAAAAATTTGTAATAATTTATATGTTTTTAATAATGTATTATTTTAACTTTTTACTTACATATTTATAATCGAAAATAGATTCTTGAGATAAATTAAAAATTGAAATAGCTTAGCACATTAAAATGGGATTAAAATTAATTATAGTTTTATGTGTCTCTCCTTTGCAATGGAAATGATCACTACGGATCTCTGACATTCTTCATATAATAAACCGAAACCACTCTTCGTAAAACATTAATTCTGTCACTGAATTTTTTATAACTCATTAAATCAAGAAATTAGCATAATTGAGAGAAGATTTCTTGTGCGACTCGCGTAGAATTTATACACGATGTTAATTACGACAATGTTCATCGCATAGTTAGCATACAGTTAAATCTTGCATCATCGTTCAAAAGTTTTCACTGTCGTTCGTAGTTATTTCTACGAACGACAGTGAAAACTTTTGAACGATGATGCAAGATCATTGAAAAGACAGCAAATGAATCTCGACGGGTAGTTCCTTGTTTTTCTTAGCTCCTCGAAGCGACGGAGACAAGCAGGGGACATGAGTACAGAATTCATGATTAATGCTTGTGAGACGCGCGATTTGATATAAAACCCGACGCCATTTGACCGCCGTCAGTTTTACCATCTAACGAGGAAGCATAACACATACCTTATCCATACCTCGCCATAAATCTCGTCGCGCATTTTGATTTACGTACCTTTAGGAGCGTTTGCGAAGAAACGCGCGATATCACGGCGAGCTGCTACACACGCTTACGCCTCCCTTTTTACGAGCCCCGAATGTAACCCCAACTTCCCTTGTCGCTGCGAAAATCGAGAGTCTCAAAGAGATGGATTGACAGCGTACAAATCGCTGTTTTAACGCGCCTTTCACGCTTTATATCGATGTGTTTTCTTCTCGGCGATCAAGGCGAGTCGATCTCATCCTCGAAACGATCAACACTGAGTGACAGCAAATGTAAATAAATGACTGAGAAAGGACTTGCGGGATGTTAATATGTATAAACTTTTAATTAGCTGTCGCGACACTGACGGCAAATAGATTGCGCTTATGCAAGCGCGTGCTATTCGCAGAAACTAGTTATGAGCGAGGATAGACGTGGGAGAGCAAAAAGAGCACAAAATTTCCATAAAAGAGGAGTGTATCGTAACCCAAACAACGTTGGCCAGCAATCCCGCATATCCCAGGCAACAGGGACGAGGCTTTAAAAGTGATTCATTACCGAGATCCCTCTGCTATCTCCCTCATATTATCTCTAGCTACTTTATGCAATACATTAATGGATATTCATTTCGTTGAGTAAGTTTTATGTATAATAGTTCTCCGTATCATTCGCCAATACAGCACAGCCCGCAGGGTTCAATTTCAATACATTATATCATGGTATATCGGTCATGCAATTATATCTTGTAAAAAAAAAAAGACGAAAGGTGGAATTTTTCTAGTATCGTCGCCAAAGTGATCAGGTAGTTACTTTTATGATGAAACGATGAGATAACGATTGAGCAAGATACGTGTGAAGCCTGTAAATGCGACGGATGAAAAGCATAGACGGCCCGTTGATGATTATACATGATCGACACGCGCGTATTCATTACGGTGCAATCGTGCTGCGCGCGCTTCGATTCATAATAAACATATTCTCTGTAATATTGTCAGACAGAGCGGGGTCGTATCGAAGGGAGATCGCGATAATGCCCGTCGTTGACGGGTTCAACGATGCTCCGAAGCGAACTCCATAACGAAGCGAAAATCAAAAGCGCACACACGTCTCTATTGAGAGGCACATCGGGACCGCCTCGCTTCCGCGCAGCTGCGGCGCGGCGGATGCATCTCGCCGGTGCATTTCGTTATACCGCGCGCACGCCAATCGGCCGTATCGGGGATTCGAGCCACACACGTAGCGGGATTTCTCCTCCCTTAATACCAAACGCGGGTACATGTACGTCGACCGCGACGGCGTCTTATAAATAGCGACGCCCGCGTCGAGACGCTAGCAGTTAACAAACGGTAAAACTAACACCGCCTCCTACGATAACATTTCGCTCCGGTCACGTGTTTTCCGCGGGTTCGTTCGACTATTATAAGATCCATGACTGTGTGTGCTTCGATCCCTTTTTCTACCTCTTTCTCTCCTTTCTTTTTTCTCTCTTTCTCTCCCCAGCCATCTTTCTCCCAGTACCTTTTAGCCTTTTGTGCTTCCACCGTTCCCTTTTCTCCGGCAACTTTCGATCCTCCATGGAACAATGCATTCTTTGAATAAATTTTTATTTGGGTCTCGTTATTTGGTTATAAAGTTTTATTTCACTTACATTATCAAGGTTGCCACAAAATTGGAAATAAAGGCAAGAGAAAATAATCAGGGAATTTTGCAAAATTTTCTGGAAAATTAGAATATTAATTCTTGACTTTAAAGAAATTTAATATGCGTACATCACATCAAATAACGAGACAAATAAAAATTTATTCAAAGAATGCATTGTTCCATTGAGGATCGAAAGTTGCCGGAGGAAAACGAACGATGAAAGCACAAAAGGTTAAAAGGTACAGTGAGAAAGGACGAAGAAAGATGGCTGGGGAGAAAAAGAGAGAAGAAAACTAAACAGTTTAGGAATATTACCAACAATCAAATAGTATACAATAGCAAGTAGTGTCGACATTTAATTAATAGTAATTTACATTGTTATATTAAATTGCTTTCTCAACAAAATATTTAACGATTTTCGAATCAGGACAAACAATTTCAAAATATTATTGAAAATGAAATTATGAAATTTTGTCTGAAAATTAGAGCAAAGTTATAGGAAGTATGAGGAAGCGATGACAACTCTGATGCAAACAAAATATTTAAAAATAAGTGATATGTATATATAAAAAATATTAGTTTTATCTTCTATCTCGTGAAAATGATAAAAATTTAATTCTAATTTAATAAAATGACAATTTGTTTGCAAAAAAAAGTACTCTACTTCCAATTGTTTACAATCTAAATGCATCATTTAAATGAAATTTTATTTGAGTGCGATATTATATTGGTAATACACAGAAAGATTTTATTCGAATAGAGAATTATCCCTTATTCACAAATAAGATTCTATTCCTCATTGATTATTTGTTATTCGTGAATTTATCCAGGCTCTCGAGCCAACACTCCATAGCTCTGTGAGAGGCGTACCGGTTTTGAAACCAGGTATCTAGCGATCAAAGCCGACGTTGATTTATGTACGAGACATTCGAACGCTACGCCCTTGCTCGTTAAGGTCGACCGAACGGACGAGCGAGCGAGCCTCAGCGAGCGGCCAGACACATCCCGCGCCGGCCGGCTATTTAGGCATCGATCGCTGGACTCGGACTTTTACGAAAGAGCGAATACACGCGGTGCGGCTCGCCCCCGGAGTTACTGAAACCGGCACCGTGCTGCTTTGGTAGTCCGAATTGCAAACGAAGCAAGACTCGTGCATATGTTCTGCCAACCGATCTTGGCAGAGTCGCGCTTCTCGTTTCGGGATTAAATTCGAACTTACTCGGAATGCCCACTCTCTCTGAAACGTGATGAATACTCTATCTCTGGTAAATACTACTCCCTCGTCCGAAGAGATTCGCGTTATTCGCAGAATGAGTTATTAGCGAGAATTGATGTTAGTTCTCTTGATATTCGAAAACTGTAAGTAATCATTGAAAACCAAATAGTTCAAATCAATATGGTGAATCAAATACAGAAGGCTATAAATTTTCTTAATATAAAATCTTATTACTATAAATTTATTTCTGTACCTGCATTACATGAATTCGTATGACTAAACAATTTCTTTTCTATATTTAACAAATATATGTAAAATATATATTTAATGTATTTATTAATGTATTTCTAAACATTTAATAAATACGTTAAATACGTATTTTACTGTATATTAAATATAAAAAATGGTTTATGTAATTTTATACAAATTAATATAATATAAATTATATTAATATAATATAAAAACTATTGAAAGAAATATAATATTTGACTTGCATATTGCGCCATTTTTTCACAATGCAAATTTTATCGTAGAAACATTAATAATAAAATGGTACTCTTTAATTTCTGTTGCAGACTGCCATTATGCCAGCTAAGCAGCCATGAATCGAGTATCCTTGAGACCCGCGCGACGGACAAAGTTATTTCCTACACGAACAATGACGAGTTTGTTAACGTTACTTGTGTTCACGACGACGTTTTCTAATGTATTACCGGAATCGGCAATAAATCCGGTGGGTAGTATCGTCGGCTCAGGATCAGGAGTTTCATCCTCGTCCGGCAGTTCCTCATCCTCGTCGTCATCGGTGATCGGCGTGGTGTCCGACAGTTCCAGTTCTAACGGCAACGGTGTTGGTGGTGTTGGAAACGGTAATGGCGTTGGAGGTGTCAGCGGTAGTGTCGGTGGTAGCCATTCCGTTATAAATGGAGGAGGTGGTGGACATTCCGGCATCGGAGGCGGCAACGCCGGCAACGGGAAGGGTCGATGCGAAGAGATCACAATTCCTATGTGCCGCGGTATCGGTTACAATCTTACCGCCATGCCGAATGAATTGAATCACGACACGCAGGATGAGGCCGGCTTGGAAGTGCACCAATTTTGGCCGTTGGTAGAGATCAAATGTTCAGCGGATCTCAAATTCTTCTTGTGCTCCATGTATGCACCGATCTGCCTACCAGAATATACGAAACCACTGCCAGCATGTCGCAGCGTGTGCGAGCGAGCGCGAACAGGATGCGCGCCTTTGATGCAACAATACGGCTTCTCGTGGCCGGAGAGAATGGCATGCGAGCGTCTGCCGTATCACGGTGATCCGGAGAACCTGTGCATGGAACAGGATAATCACACCAGCACTAGTACAGGTCCTGGTAGTAACGGTGGCGCAGTGAGCAGCGGTGTCCCAGGACCACCAGGGCCGCCAGCGCGGCCCACACGACCCAGCAAGACTTCGCAACCGGCCCGCTGTAAGCCGGGCAAGAATCAAAAAAACTGCCAGCACCCCCCGGGGGAGAGGACGAGGGATTGCGCGTGCAGATGCAGAGCGCCCCTCGTGCCCCTGGGGGCGGGTGGTTCGGGGATATCAGGACCGATAAGCGCCGTCAGCAGCAGCGTCATCGGGACCGGCAACACCGGGGTCAACGCGGGGGCTGGTCTGGCCGGCATAGCCGTAAGTGGGATAATGCCGGCGCCAGCACCGCCGTCGATGGGAGGTATCGGCCGAAGTATCATCCAGGAGATCGCGGGGGTACAGAACTGTGCTCTACCATGCCGCGGCGCGTTCCTCACCAACGAAGAACGCGAGTTCGCGGCCGTCTGGCTGGCGCTTTGGAGCGGCCTGTGCGCCGCCAGCACTCTCGTGACCGTCATCACATTCTTAATCGACACCCAGCGTTTCAAATATCCTGAGCGACCGATCGTCTTCCTGTCAGCCTGCTACTTTGTCGTATCCTTGGGATACTTGTCGCGGAGCGTGTTTGGTCACGAAGAAATCGCTTGCGACGGTCCGGCTTTGAAATCAGGCGCTCAGGGTCCAGGCGCCTGTGTCACTGTTTTTCTCTTGATTTACTTCTTTGGTATGGCTTCATCAGTGTGGTGGGTAATCTTGGCCTTTACATGGTTTCTCGCGGCAGGTTTGAAGTGGGGCAATGAAGCGATAGCGTCGTATTCGCAATATTTCCATCTAGTGGCGTGGCTGGCCCCAACTGTACAAACGGTTTGGGCGTATGTCGCAGGTGGCGTCGCCGGTGATCCGGTAGCAGGAGTTTGTACAGTTGCTCCCGAGGGGGTGCGCAATTTCATCTTAGCACCTCTATTCGTCTACCTTCTGCTGGGCACGACTTTTCTTCTGGCTGGTTTCGTGAGTCTCTTCCGAATTCGATCGGTGATCAAACGTCAACCTGGAGCCAAGGCGGACAAATTGGAAAAACTGATGATACGGATCGGCGTGTTTAGTGTTCTCTATACATTACCGGCCAGCGTTGTGTTAGGCTGTCATATGTACGAGTCAGCTCTACGGGATGAGTGGCTCAGTTCTCTAGCGTGTCCTTGTCATCCACGAACAAGACCGTTATACTCCATTCTAATGCTGAAATATTTCATGGCTCTCGCAGTCGGCATTACCTCAGGAGTTTGGATCTGGAGTGGCAAGACGGTCGATTCTTGGAAACGACTATGGAGGCGTTTGTTCGGCGGTGATCGCAGTCACATGAGCGCCGGTGCTGGAATGGTAGCCGGTGTAACCGGCGTCGGCAGCGGTATCGGCAGCAGTATTGGTATCAAAGGAGTCGTAGGTCGAGGAATCGCGATGCCGTACCCATCAGCGCCGGGTCCAGGCAGTGCTCTGTTGCCTCCAGGAAGCGTCGCCAGTGCGTCCCAACATCATCTACATCACCATGTACTCAAGCAACCCCCGCTTTCGCACGTATGACGTCATCAGTCTGCGGGGGGCGACATGAATACCGCTGGATGCGTTGAGTCACAGCAGCAAGAGAGGCCTTCCGCCCTCAGCAATTACGGGCCCATCTAGCCCTTCGCCTCGGCCTCGCGCAGGCACAACGCGACGCCGCATCCGGCGCCGCATACGGCGCCACACACGCCCCATTCGGCGGCGACCATCTATTCCAGGAGGTCGCTCGCGTCCACGACGGGGCCGCTGACGCCGGCGCATGGCATCGCGCCCTCCTACACGCAAGCTACCGAAGTATGAAAGGTGATATCACATGGAGGTGCATATAAGATTGAACGATTCAGCGGCCCAGCGTTTAATGTCAACGGGCGCATACTTTGCGCGATGGACGATGAGCGGTCGCGGTGCTTCTTGATTACCCGATATACGTATTAGCCTGTACGTGTCTTCTTCCGCGGGAATCTCAAGGAATCCTCTCTTCAGTTCGAATCGGCGATTTCTTCGGCGCCTTCATCTTGCCAGTCGAATCAAAGAAACTATATTCTATGTTTTATGAAAGGATGAATTTTGATTGATGGAACGAAGCGATACATTTTGATATTATCGATAGGGAGGATCACTCGAGTGTCGCGGTATAGTGAGAGTGTGATTAGAAGAAAGATTCAATGAGTGGTACGCAAGAATGTATGTGCGTGCATAAACGATAAACGATAAACGATGAACAATATCGATTGATTTCTCTATCTTTATCCATATCTATCTGTCTCTCTCTAATCTTTCTTACATTCTTGTAAGGCGGTGCTCGTAAAGCCCGTCAACGTGTCCGTCTAACGTGTATCGTCTCGTCTATTTATCTAATCTAGCCATTAAAGAGCCGTGTTGGGGATGTACACACGGATGCAATGCGTAATACGCAAAAAAAAGCGGCAGCCTACTTTTTTCCTTCCCAGAAGAGAAAAAACTGCTATGATCTCTCGATATCGTGAGCTATCCCTCTTTCTACGAGATATCCCTCTTCTTATACTAATTCTTTATCACTGCCACCCTTCACGATCGAAGGGTCGCGAAATTGTGAAAGTAGTTTCAACTGAAAGTAGGTTGCCACTGCAATAGATGCAATGAAGGAAAAACCAGTGTACAGGATAAACGCTAAAGTAACAAATTAGGCAGGATGGACAACTGTAAATATTGTTCTTAGATGTTAGTCGATGCTGTAAATAAAACGGTCGCCAGACTCATTGTAGAGTATTGAGGCGCAAAAGACGATCACGCTTGTGGCAAAGGTTGTCATTTCCTTTCACGGGCAGTTATCAGACAAAACTCGTCGCACTTGATGCAGACAGAAAAGTCCATTAGTCCACGTTATGCAACGTGGTATACGCCGCTTTCGCCAATTTTTCTCAAGATAATATTCAATTTCCAGTTTATTGAATAATTACATCAGATATATCCTTTATTTTATTTAATTAGAATCCATTAATCAAAATCAGAATTTGTAAAATTGCTTCTAACTTAAAATTGAACTGTTAAAGCTCAATAAATCTCATTTCTGCTAATGAAAATTCGAGGTAGATTAACGAGATCTGGCATATATTTTATTTTGTTGAAATTTTTTTAGTTTATAAATATTTGTAAATTATCTCAAATCATATACATATGTTACATAATTTTTTAAGTTAATAAATATATAATTTTAGATTACACAACACTATTCAATTAATCGATAATTTTGACAGATTTAAATCTAATTTCACAATAGAATTGAATTATCGCTGCCACGAGCGGATAATCGTCGCGCAACTAGATTCATACGCGTTCACAAAATGCGTAATACAAATATATTATATACATAGGTCTGCCTCGCGAAGATCACACGTCATTTAACACATGTTGGTGTACTAGTTCGAAACCTTTTATATCATAAGTAAGAGCGTATCGCACTCTCTCTTGTTGCGTTCGCACAGTCCACCAGCTCGCCACCGTCGTGCGGAACTGATAATAATGGAGAGTAAGAAACGCGACGTTTTTTATTTTTACTGTACTTCGCGTGGTGATCGATTCCTTTACGCACGTGTCGCGAAGGGCGGACGATGTGACAACGTAAGCACATAAAAGGGCGAAAGATCCTTCCTCGAGTGCGAAGGAGCGCAAAAGGAAATCTACGTTCACCCCGAAGCATAGTAAGTAGAGGAAAATTATGCACGCGCGCGTATGTAATTCTTATGTAAATCCCGATGATCTAGAAATAGTCCCCAAGCGAGATTAAGCGCGAGACACAACGGAAGTAACAGCCCTTAAGTACGTATTATACGCGTGACGATGTCAGTCACTAGCAATATCGTTAATCCAGAACCTGTTCTAGTACCGGAAATCGAAATCGTAGAGAGAAAGCGGAATCGGAAAATTTTACAGCATCTCGTAAGCGAACTACGATTGGACGTAATAAATAAATAAATTTTATACACGATTTGAGAAAATTTTAGGTAATGTATTTATCGTGACTCAGGGAACTTGTAGCCCTGTAAGAATTATTATAAGGCAATAACGCGAAATTTTTGAAAATTTTGATTTTGAACTTTAGATAAAGATGGAAATGCATAGATAAAGCGTATGGTATGACATCTTGGATCACTGCCCGCTGTATTTCTTTACGAGATGTTGCGAGCGCAGAGCACAAGCAAAAGAACTGAAAAACGAAAACTGCCTCATACAATTTGACATATTGACTGCCACATCATTCATATGTGAGTGACACTCCAATTCATGCCCAATTCTCAGATTGCCAAACGTATGTTCTTTTATAATTTATACTCTTTTACTATAAAATATCATTGAATAACTTCTTACGAAAATTTGGTGTCATTCGTATTTGAATGATGGGACGCTCTCAATAACAAGAAGTATTATTCGTATATGACTGACATGTATGACGTGGCAGTGAATGTGTTAAATGCGTTAACCGTCGTGTCTTAGACGGTTTAGAAACCTTTGCCAAAACGGAAACATACACACGTAATGTTGTAAATTAGTGGGAGTAAAGATGTCTTACGATTAGTGTCCACATATCACGCCAATGATCGAAGAGAGGGGAAGAAGTGAGTGATATCGCGTTCATACGAAAGCGAAAGGAAGAGAAGAATAAAGAATGTAAATTCGGAGTGCAAATGCTGGAAATGCGATTTTTTCCGCGGATATTGAAGAGTATTCGATAGGCGACATTGAAGAGTGGCGTAGAGAAACCGATAAGAGGTATCCGATAAGAGGTTTATAAGTATTTGTATAAGCCACTTTTTGTCACACTAATTGTCAATAAAAATGAGAGTAATGTGTGTATTATGAATGTGTTTCGACTAATGTACGGAGTTACCGCTCCGCTTATTCTTCGCGATACTAAAGCGCGATATCAAAGCCTTTCTTTGTCTTCCTTCTTTAGTTTTTATCCGTGCGTTTTCTCTCATTCAATTATTTACGTTCTGGATTGCGCGACGAATTTTACACGCGGTTGCCATCGGCCGCTCCGTACAATTTTTATGTTGCCATAGTAACCATAGGTGTAATTTACCGCTATCGGTTCCAAAAATATAAAAATATACGTATATAGTTATTTATATACATATATGTATATGTATATATATATATAAAATATATATTATATCAAGACTATTGAGTGTTGGTATTGCACAAGTCGTGCACTCTCTTAAATTTTGTATACGCGCGTTT